GTCGGAGCTTTGGACTCCAGGGGTTGCAAGATTGTTACAGAGAACGGAGTGAAGAGGGTTGTTCGGGGTTCCTTAACAGTGATGAAGGGTGTTCGTCACGGTAATCTATATACTCTCTCGGGTACGACGGTGACGGGAGATGCAGCAGTTGGAGCTGAAGGAAGTGGTGGAGACCCATGTGAGCACACACGGTTATGGCATAGGCGGCTTGGGCACATGTCAGAGAAGGGTCTGGATCTGCTTGGTAAAGAGGGTTTGCTGAAGAATCTGAAGAAGCCTTGCATGGATTTTTGCGAGGACTGTGTGTATGGAAAGGCGCACAGGGTTCAATTTCTGAGGAGCAAGCACAAGAGCAGAGGGATACTAGATTATGTGCACACGGATGTTTGGGGTCCGGCTTCGACAACTTCCAAGGATGGTTCCAGATATTTTGTCTCATTCATAGATGATCATTCAAGATATGCTTGGGTTTATTTCCTGAAGCATAAGAATGAGGTATTTGAGACATTCAAAAAGTGGAAGGCGATGGTTGAGAACAGTACGGGAAAGAAATTGAAGACGCTGAGATCTGACAACGGTACAGAGTACACAGACGGTGCCTTCAAGGAGTTCTGTGATCAGGAGGGTATTGCTAGACACTGGACAGTTAGATCTACACCACAACAAAATGGGGTCGCGGAAAGACTGAACCGAACACTGTGGGAGAAAGCAGTGAGTATGCGATCATATGCTGGTTTGGGCAAAGAATGGTGGGCAGAGTCGATTGCTACAGCTTGTTATATTGTGAATCGATCTCCACATTCGACATTGGACGGTGATACACCCTATCGGGTGTGGTCAGGGGAACATGCAAATTATGAGAGACTCTGAATTTTTGGGTGTACCGCCTACTATCACGTCAACAAGGGAAAGCTTGACGCGAGGGCCAAGAAGGTAATTTTCTTGGGGTATGCAAAGGGAGGTTCTAGTCATGTTCAAGTAGGAAATCAGGTAGATGATGAGCTTGAGCAGGAGGAGGTTCAGTAGGAGAATACACAGGCACTACAACAACAGCAGCTCGAGGATAGCTTGGTTTCTACTAGGCCAAGGCGAGCATACAAGCAGGTACAGAAGCTGGGGGCTGATCAACCCCTGAAGCACTATGGGCATGTTAATTTGGTTGAGTACGCACTCTCGGTGGAGGAAGATGAGCCGGTCTCCTTCCAGGAAGCTATTCGAGACAAGCATAGTGAGAGTTGGTTGGCTGCGATGGAGGAGGAGATGGAATCTCTCCGGAAGAACCAAACATGGGAGGTGGTCCCATTGTCCGTAGGAAGAAAAGCTATTGGTTGTAAGTGGATGTATAAGAGAAAGGAAGATCCTTCAGAGCTCGGTGGAACGAGGTATAAGGCGAGGCTAGTGGCCAAGGGGTTTTCACAAAGAGAAGGTGTGGATTACAATGAGATATTTTCTCCGGTGGTGAAACACACCTCTATTCGGGTGCTATTGAGTATTGTTGCTCATGGTGATCTTGAGCTGGAACAACTCGATGTCAAGACGGCCTTCTTGCACGGAGAATTGGATGAAGAGATCTACATGCATCAACCTGAGGGTTACAAGGTTGAGGATAAGGAGAATCATGTATGTCGCTTAAGGAAATCACTTTACGGATTGAAGCAATCTTCACGACAGTGGTACAAGCGATTTGACTCCTTCATGCTGAAGCATGGGTTTTCCCGAAGCGACTATGATTGTTGTGTTTACATTCGGAAGCTTCGTGGAGGTGATTATATCTATCTCCTTTTATATGTGGATGACATGCTTATTGCATCGAAGAACAAGGTGGAGATAGATAAGCTGAAATCTCAACTCAGCAAAGAGTTCGAGATGAAGGACATGGGCGCTGCAAAGAAAATACTGGGTATGGAGATTAGAAGAGAGCGGGCGAATCGGCGATTGTTCTTGAGTCAGAAGGGCTACATAGAGCGGGTGATCGCGAGGTTCGGGATGCAAAGTGCAAAGTCGGTGGTGACTCCATTGGCTCCACACTTCAGGCTTTCAGGTAAACAATCTCCCACTACAGCGAAAGATAAGGCACACATGGAGCGTGTTCCTTATGCTAGTGCAGTTGGCAGTTTGATGTACGCCATGGTGTGTACACGCCCTGATATTTCACAAGCGGTTAGTGTGGTCAGCAGATTCATGGCAAATCCGGGAAAGGCGCACTGGGAAGCAGTGAAATGGGTCCTGAGGTACTTGAAAGGTACCACGGATACGGGTCTATGTTTTAGTGGAGATACATGTCAGGTCGACGGGTATGTGGACTCAGATTATGCGGGCGATCTAGATAGACGGCGATCTACTACTGGTTATGTATTCAGAATACATCGGCGATCTACTACTGGTTATGTATTCAAGATACATGGAGCTCCAGTTAGTTGGCGATCGATGTTGCAGGCTACAGTGGTACTTTCTACAACAGAGGCCGAGTACATGGCTATGGCGGAGGGAGTGAAGGAAGCATTGTGGCTGTGGGGTCTTCTAGACGATTTGGGGGTTGAGCAGGAGAGCGTGAACTTGTGGTGTGACAGTCAGAGTGCGATTCACTTGGCGAAAAATCAAGTTTACCATGCTCGTACTAAGCATATCGACGTCAGGTATCATTTTGTGCGGGATGTCATAGAGGAAGGCGATATTTCTCTCATGAAGGTGCATACGAATGAGAATCCCGCGGACATGTTAACCAAGGTGGTCACAGGTAGCAAGTTTAAGCATTGCTTGGACTTGCTTCATATCAGCCCGTGTTGAGTTGCCCAAGAGGGCATGGCCCTGCGGGGCGGTGATGGAGGTGAGGTGGAGACTATGTTGGAGAATAGTAGCAGAACTACGATTAGCTTGATCCCGGTGGAGGGTACGTAGGCAGTCGCGGTATAGTGACGCAGCTGGTTTGGCCTGATTTGGCCTGGATATCTCTCTGGTGAAGTTCGTAGGGGTTCTTTTGGTGTTTTCGTTCAAAATTTGAGGTTTATCAAATGATGAACGAGGTGGAGAATTGTGAACGTGGGGGACAGGGGGTCCCACCCATGTTTCCGCTGCGCTCCTAAGCCCACGACGCGCGCAGGTCGCCTATCGCTATCTCGCCCACGTCGAGCTCGTAGGCTCGTACGTGCCGTCCCGCGCCGAACTCGAGATCGTGCACAGCTTCGTGCGCGAATTTTTTCTCCCGCGTGCCAGCTTTTTCCCGCCTGCGAGAGCCCGCCTAAATTTCAGAGTTGCCCCCATGTTCTCTCCTATAAATAGAGAAGGGGTGGAGGAGTTCTTTGGTGTGGGGAAGTGTGGGAAATACAATTGAATATTGTGTGGAGTTTCTTTTGAGAGAAAAGAAAGAGTGAGTGAGAGAGAATTTGTAAGAATTTGGTATTCTCCTCATAGTGAAACCCCCCTCCCGTGGACGTAGGCTAGTTTGTCGAACCACGTAAAAATTTCGTGTTTGTATTTGTCTTATCTGTGAGTTGCCATAGCTTGTAGGTTCCCTCGAGATTTCAGTCCTTGAACTGATGAGAGGAAGAGTGTATATTTCACTTTGATGAAATATATCACTTTCGATTCTTATTTCCTTTGAGAAATAAGAATTTCATTATCTATTCTCGTTTCCTTTGAGAAACAAGAATTTAGAGGTTGACTTGTGCTTTTGTGACAACGAAAGCTAGGGCTATCTCTCAGGTGATATCGCTTCCGCGGCGGCGGGCGGGACTCCGCCCCAACATAATCAATTAACAATATTGTATTAGTCCATCTGTAAATGGTCCATCGAATTATGTTTGATAATTATAATGCTATGATAACTGTAAACGATCCATCTAATTAGACTTTGGCAGCAAGTACTTTTCTAACTTTTTAACAGCTAATATTTATTGCATTGCTCTTAAACATTGTAAAGCAATAATAAGCTTGTCTAGGTTACGTTTTAGGGAAACTATCTTCATGTGAACTTGAAGTATGAACATGCATCATGCACGTACCATAATTGCAGGATTAGTAGCAATTTAGAGGACAAATAATCCGAAATTCAAGAAGAATTGGATGCTTCTTAAGTTTCGAAACGTAAGTTTCGAAATACAACATATTGATATAATCTAAACCCCTTTTATGAACCAGGCAGGTTTTGAATAATAATCATGATTGACACAAGTCTATACAAATCAGCCTTAATGAGATAAAGCAACAGAAAAGAACACAATCTAAACAAACAAACAAACCAAAAAAAAAAAAAAAAAAAATAAAAAAAAGAATCAATATAACCACTAGTCTAGAAGTTATCAAGTGAGTAGATCTTCATACAAATTAACCTTTGAGAGTAAGAGACTAGGAGAGAAGAAATCAGTCTCGTGGAAAAAAGAGCGCTCTTTTCTTTTTCTTTTTCTTTTTCTTTTTCCTTTTTTTTTTGTGTGGTGTCTGCGGCATGAAATTCTTTCGCTGTCAGCAAAATAAAAAAAAGTATGGGGAAAAGTAAAACAAAGCCGATAGGTTTTCATATCAACAACCGTACTGTATCCGTCTCTTCAACATCCGAACCGTATCTATTTCAAGTTTCTCGGGATATGGTTATTTTCCCCTTACCAAAGAAAAACTATATTCATATCTGTATCCGTTTTTAAAAAGCGAATACGGATATATGACAAGTGTCATATCCAAACCATATGTGATCAATTTGCACCCCTATTACTAACTCAAACTCTAGGTAAGCTCGTAATTGACATAATTTTGAGTAGGATTTAATTTAAGTTAGGACATCTCTGCTAATACAATTTTACTCCAAGAAAACAGAAATTTGGACAGTTGGTAGTTAATCTTCTGGAAGCAGTTCCAAAATTAACAACTTATACCATTAAATAAGTGGAGCGTAAGTATCTACTAAAGAAATATTTTTTTAAAAAATCTGGAGGAAAAGCTATTCACAAAGAAGGTCCTGACTCCTGCATCAGCCACCTAGCTCAAGACATATCTAAGGTCTACAGCCATAGCTAAAAATAACATTTCTTCTTAATCCACAGCCAAATCAAAAATGAAACTCGTTAAAAAGTTTGCAGAAAATATTCCTTTACACGCATTTCCATTTGCAACTAATTACAAGACATGCATTTGAATGTTTCATCTGTTCATTGACATCCTGAGGAAGGGCTGAACCATTGGTACCTAATACAGGGGTATGAATTGAAAGTCTGCTGCTTGATGTGGGCATTACGCATACTGGGAACAATATACGCCCTATATGCAACATAGGTAACAACATCAGCACAAGCAGTGAAACTACCAAAAGATGAAGCATACTATAATCTCAGGTTTGATCATCGACCGACGAGACCTGAACAACAATCAAAAACCCCCTCCCGTGGACGTAGGCTAGTTTGCCGAACCACGTAAAAATCTCGTGTTTGTATTTGTCTTATCTGTGAGTTGCCATAGCTTGTAGGTTCCCTCGAGATTTCAGTCCTTGAACTGATGAGAGGAAGAGTGTATATTTCACTTTGATGAAATATATCACTTTCGATTCTTATTTCCTTTGAGAAATAAGAATTTCATTATCTATTCTCGTTTCCTTTGAGAAACAAGAATTTAGAGGTTGACTTGTGCTTTTGTGACAACGAAAGCTAGGGCTATCTCTCAGGTGATATCGCTTCCGCGGCGGCGGGCGGGACTCCGCCCCAACATAATCAATTAACAATATTGTATTAGTCCATCTGTAAATGGTCCATCGAATTATGTTTGATAATTATAATGCTATGATAACTGTAAACGATCCATCTAATTAGACTTTGGCAGCAAGTACTTTTCTAACTTTTTAACAGCTAATATTTATTGCATTGCTCTTAAACATTGTAAAGCAATAATAAGCTTGTCTAGGTTACGTTTTAGGGAAACTATCTTCATGTGAACTTGAAGTATGAACATGCATCATGCACGTACCATAATTGCAGGATTAGTAGCAATTTAGAGGACAAATAATCCGAAATTCAAGAAGAATTGGATGCTTCTTAAGTTTCGAAACGTAAGTTTCGAAATACAACATATTGATATAATCTAAACCCCTTTTATGAACCAGGCAGGTTTTGAATAATAATCATGATTGACACAAGTCTATACAAATCAGCCTTAATGAGATAAAGCAACAGAAAAGAACACAATCTAAACAAACAAACAAACCAAAAAAAAAAAAAAAAAACAAACAAACAAAAAAAAAAAAAAAAAAGAATCAATATAACCACTAGTCTAGAAGTTATCAAGTGAGTAGATCTTCATACAAATTAACCTTTGAGAGTAAGAGACTAGGAGAGAAGAAATCAGTCTCGTGGAAAAAAGAGCGCTCTTTTCTTTTTCTTTTTCTTTTTCTTTTTCCTTTTTTTTTTGTGTGGTGTCTGCGGCATGAAATTCTTTCGCTGTCAGCAAAATAAAAAAAAGTATGGGGAAAAGTAAAACAAAGCCGATAGGTTTTCATATCAACAACCGTACTGTATCCGTCTCTTCAACATCCGAACCGTATCTATTTCAAGTTTCTCGGGATATGGTTATTTTCCCCTTACCAAAGAAAAACTATATTCATATCTGTATCCGTTTTTAAAAAGCGAATACGGATATATGACAAGTGTCATATCCAAACCATATGTGATCAATTTGCACCCCTATTACTAACTCAAACTCTAGGTAAGCTCGTAATTGACATAATTTTGAGTAGGATTTAATTTAAGTTAGGACATCTCTGCTAATACAATTTTACTCCAAGAAAACAGAAATTTGGACAGTTGGTAGTTAATCTTCTGGAAGCAGTTCCAAAATTAACAACTTATACCATTAAATAAGTGGAGCGTAAGTATCTACTAAAGAAATATTTTTTTAAAAAATCTGGAGGAAAAGCTATTCACAAAGAAGGTCCTGACTCCTGCATCAGCCACCTAGCTCAAGACATATCTAAGGTCTACAGCCATAGCTAAAAATAACATTTCTTCTTAATCCACAGCCAAATCAAAAATGAAACTCGTTAAAAAGTTTGCAGAAAATATTCCTTTACACGCATTTCCATTTGCAACTAATTACAAGACATGCATTTGAATGTTTCATCTGTTCATTGACATCCTGAGGAAGGGCTGAACCATTGGTACCTAATACAGGGGTATGAATTGAAAGTCTGCTGCTTGATGTGGGCATTACGCATACTGGGAACAATATACGCCCTATATGCAACATAGGTAACAACATCAGCACAAGCAGTGAAACTACCAAAAGATGAAGCATACTATAATCTCAGGTTTGATCATCGACCGACGAGACCTGAACAACAATCAATCAGATATGGTTGATGAACTAATTAAAATCATCCTGATAGTCTGCAAATAGCTCTAGTAGCTGTTCATCTGTCCATTGATTAGCTGAAACGCTTGAAATCATCTTTTTAGGTTCCTTCATCCTCGTATCTGACTCTGTATCCATATTTGCACTTGCATCTGCTACGATGCTAGTTTTGACATTTGAGGTAGAAATCATGTTCTTGTTAGTATCTACTCTTTGATCAGGTATGAAAACCACATCCGCGACAGTGTTCGTCTCAAGATCTGGCTTCTCAACTACATTTGTGGTAGGACTTGTTTTATTGAGCTTAGCAGCAATCATTGTGGAAATATTAGTCGTGAAATTGGACTGGGAAGCTATAATGGGATTTTTTGTAGTAATATTATATGGTGAACTCTCGGTAGAACCTCTCTTTCTACGATCCAGTATCCTCTCGTTGTCTATTTCTCTGCTGAGTTCATTACCAGGAATATTCTCTTCACTATTCCTCGTTGAAATCTGCTTCTCCACTTGATTTTGTCCAAATTCCATTTGTTTGCCTGATGTGAAAAGTAAAATATATTGGTGATAATGGGGAAGTTGTTAAGTGTGTGGAGTTGCAAAAGAAAGTTGAATAAAGATGATACCAGAGGCCTCATATCTGGGTTCAGATGATGGCATCATTTGTTTATGTGGGGGACCACAATCCTTGCTGATGAGCTGTTCAAAAAAGGAGCTATGTCAATGATGAAGCTCATAAAAGTAAATTAGAAGCCAAACAAATTTCAGTACTTTATTCTGCCATATGAAATAAAAAGGCTAATATACTAGGAAGCAAGTATAAACTCACTGGCCTAAGCAAGAAGCTACTTTGCTGGCCTGCAACTTATAGGCAGTATTATCGCTAGCATGGCGAAAGCATTACACTTGCTAATAGTTGTATCCCATCTACCTTTAAAGAACCATGGAATACTCATTATATTTGATGAGCAGTGATCAATACTATATTTTAAGACTCGCTATCTATTGATAATCTTTTTTCTTTGACTATGTTGTACTTTCCTCACTGTATTTTCTGCAAATGCAGTTGTACAAATTTGATCAATTGACATAGTTTCCCTTTGTTAATTCCCAAAAAATAATTTATTATTGCTGATAACATTTTTATTATAGCCTTTCGATCAATTTGAGAATCATTAATTAGAAATCTGCTAAGAGGGAGTTAATTGTTGTTGGTAAGGCTTGTTACTTAGAACATGGAAGTCACCGTTATGCAAAGCTTCAAGATAAACTAGCACATCTAATATTAAGAAATATGAAGTTAGCATTTTTGCATGTTTCCTACAAACTGCAGTGGAAACAGAGGCGCAGGTCCACTTTTGATTGGAGATGATTTGTTTGGGTATTCGGAAGGTGGTATGCCAACCAAGACAAAGATAATTTGGAGTTGGAGAAGATATGGTTGAAAAAGTAGGCTTAGTGTTTTCTTGGAATCACTCTTTGGCATCACACCAATACCCAGTGTTATCAAAGGCATGCGCCTCAATGCACCTCATTCGCCCTGCAATGCAAGGCAGTGGCGAAGCGTCCCCGTGTCTGAGGCGATAGCGCTTTTTTGTGCCTGCAAGTGCCCTGTGCGAAAGCACTTCGCATGGGTGCACGCAAGTCACAACCTACATTTTTTGTTCTTTATTATTTCAATCATATCTTTGTACTCGACAACCCATATTCCAAAAGAAAAAAATAAACTCAATAAGACATTTTAGAAGCCCGATCGAAGCTTGTTTATTATTTCATTTTTCATTGATCTTATTCTTGATTTGACTTTTGATTTGGAAACTATAAATGTTGCTACTATGCTGGTTGTCTTAGCATTACGAAGTAAGACGTTATTTTGTGTTTGGTAGTAGATATTATTTACCTTGACATATTTTTTTCTGTGAAAATTCATCATTATGTTCTTTCATGCTTGATTACCTATCTTGAAATTTTATGTGTGCGGTGTGCACCTAGCTTCACTTTGGCGCGCACATTGCATTACACATTGCGCATGTGCATGTAAATTGACTTTGCCCTTGCATTGCATTGCGCATAGCGTATTGATAACACTGCCAATACCAATTGTAGTTTGGTATCAATCCTGAATCAATTACTTCATGCTAATGTAGGTCTCATGCTGAAAATATATAGCTCCAAACCAAAAATTGCAACAGAATCTGAAAAATCATAATTTTTTGTAGAGACATCTTCAATCTTTATTTAAGAAAAACTAATTTTTTTCAGACGTGCAAAACTTGATTACCAAAAAATAGCTTAGTAAGAAAGTGTTCTAATAATACCAAAATAAAAAGCATAAAAGGCCAATTTAGTCTCGTTCTAAGGCCTCATTCTAAAAGGGTAAATGGCTAATAACTCCATTACAAATTAAGTCCTTTTTTAACATCCGTTAGAAATTGGGTGTTAACTTTTCGTTTATGACCATTGTACTCTTAATGACATGGCAATAGAGGTCTCTATACTTTAACATAAATTTAAGATGTTGTGTAATCTCGAAAATGAAATTTATGTTGTGTACTCTCGAAAATGAAAGTAACCAAAGAGGAGTATCGGAAAATCTTACCTCTTCTGAAATATCGATTCAAAGGCCAGTTAGCGAAGGGAGGAAAGTGAAAAAAATATATTTGAACCTAGCTAGAAGGGGAAAATAAATTAAAGTTTTAAATTTTCCTCATACCTCAACGTTGGTCCTCTATATTTCTCTTGCGAAATATGCCAAGTTAGATGCAAGAAACGTTGTGGGGGTGTACAGTTAAAAAAAGTGAGTGCAGAATGAAAAAGAATTCATCTAAAGAATAAATCCCTCCTAGGTTGCTGTCAATTGATAACCAAAAAGGATGACACAAGCTAGAAGTTCAGGAAGTAGTTCCCCGCTATTGAATTTTAGAGTAATTCAAATTAGTTACTAGTCTTTTAATTCTCCTATAAATTGCTCTATAGACGATGGGCTTGATTTCAAATATGATATTAAACTGTTACAAGTATTTCAATACTGATATATACAGTAGATCATGTCATTGTAATATGTCAGATAATTGTTCATTAGTATCTAGCTCACATGTGTTTGTAAGAAGTCAATATAGTCTAACTGGATCTGCAAAACATCAACTGATTAAAACATTGAAGCTCCCAAAATAAGTTACCCTATCACAAAAATGAAAAAAAAATATCACAAAAATAAAAATAAATAAGTGTTAAAATTTAACATTGTGCCATTGTATTGTAGTTCATTGAGTTCAGAATAAGCCTTCAAGCTCTAGACTTTTATTGAAAGACAAAATTCGCATGTTCTATCCAAGTTTTTCAAACTAACCTGAACCTTGAAAATGAACCCACTAATACTATTAACCACCGACAAGAATAAGTCACAAGTACAAACACATAAATATTCTAAAAAGATGTTCTAATGTGGAAGGCTAATGGATATGCACCAGAATGCTCTTAATAAAGAACAGAATGCTCTTAATAAAGAATAGGGTTAATTACAAAAAACCCATGAAGTTTTAGGGAGTTACAATAAAAGCCATCAACTTTTTTTATTGCACTAAACCCCCATGAACTTTTGGGGAGTTGCACATAACCCCATGAACTATTTTTTCACTAAATTTCACATGAAAATCTCTCAGTTTAATCTTTAAATTAGTTCCATCAATTCTAACATCTCATGTGGCAAGCATGTACCAGATAAAAAAAGATGAAAATAATTCCTTAGTCCCAAAAAATTACCTATTTTTTCCCTTTTAATAACAGGGTGTTTTTTTGGGACTAAGAAGGAATTTTTCATCTTTTTCTTTGTCCTGTGCCTATCAGTGACATGTTCGAGTTGATGGTGCTCTGTTACCCGGGAACTTCTATCTTGAAGCTGTCCCTATATTCGACACGCACTTGTACCTGTACTCATCCCAAACTCCTTGGACACCCCTTGCGTATATGCATACATTTATTCGGACATGCGCTCAATTAAACAAAACATGTTCCAATTTAGAACACTAACATTTTCCGGATGTAGATCCTACACTAATCCAATTCTTAAAACTCATTGGTTCCAAACTATGATTTTAATGGTTGTTTGGGTGTTTAGTTCAAAAAACAAGCATTTTTACAATTTACAATCTACACAATAAAAGAAACATAAAAGCATTAGAGGAATTTTAGTTCTTATAACACATGAATAAAAAAATATTGATCTCATGTGAATTATTAATTTCAATGTATAATATGTGCATACAATATTTATATAGTCGTGTCCTCATATCCTAACTTTTGCAAATTTTCCGTGTACCATACCGGTCCCAATACCCATACCCATTCAATATAGATGAGGCTAATATGTAGATTAAAAGAAAAAAATTTCAGGTAAGATTTAGTGAAATCAAACAGTTCATGAGGGTAATGTGCAACTCCCCAAAAGTTCATGGGGCTTTATTCTGATAAAAAAACTTGATGGGGGTTTACTGCAACTCCCAAAAAGTTCATGTGGTTTTCTCTAATTAACACAAAAGAATATATAGTAGGATTTAAAGTGCTAAACTATGTAGCTTATAGTCTGGAATCTATATATACTCTCTACCTAAAGAAAGTCAAATAGTGAGAACCATAAACCATGATCAATATTTATACAAATAATCATAGACACTATTAACTTATTTTAACAAGAATTAAGGTTAACTACTATAACGCGTCTTCACTTCTAAAATGATAAGTTTAAGAATTCATAACGATCTCAATCGAGAAAAGATTTTCTGATTCGGCTACTCCTTGAATATTTCCTTGTATGCAGCAATAACTCAAGTTCACTAGAAGGAAGCATATTGATAAGCATGATAATCAATCATGGAAGGCACAAATTGAATAATAAATAAGAAATTTATGCTATAAAAGTTATATTACACTATATTAACAGTGCACAATGTAACCTAGTTGAGCTCATGTTAATAAGGATTTTATTTTCTTTATGAAGAATGCAGGAGTAGGTGTAATGAGAGGGACTACACTAGCCGAAAGCATGATTTTTCTTCCGTGAGCCCAAAATACAACCATCATGCATTAATAAAAAAACCTTCAAGTATGACAACATGTAATAAAGTTTCATATATATATGTAACTAAGTGAAAGAATAATCTAAAATAAAAGTTGTTACAATAAAGCATTTTCATTAATACTGAAATAGTTTTAACAGATGCACCTATCATTTAATCAATATGCTTCAATTTCTAAAAGTTTCAATTAGAAAATGTGACAATTGTAGCTTGTTTCATAACCACAAACTATAATTTTGAGGTCATGCCAAATTAAAAATACACTATAGATTGTACCATTAAACTTATTTCAAACAATAATAAAAGGAGATGAAACAAATCCTTTTAACTATGTATCACATTTATAAAATAATTGTATGAAACAAATCCTTTTAACTATGTATCACATTTATAAAATAATTGTAGGAGTACATGAACATAGAAAATTCATTTCACATAGCTACTTCTTAATAAAAACTTCATGAAATTGAAAGAAAATCATTTCACAATTCCATCACAAAGTGTAAAACGCATGAAAATATAAATGATCACAATTCTAATATTAAATGCAAAACTACATGGAGATTGAAATATCTTTTTTCTATTCTACTTGAAATGCAAAGAAAGTTATATGAAAATATGATG